GATCAAAATATAAAGCTATTTGGAAATTGGGATATTTTAAAGATCAAAATGAAAATGATTCATATAAATAGCATAATTTCAAAACAACAAATTCAGACTAAAACTTTTTCTAAATCAGATTCTTTCAATATAAAATTGATGAAATTACCAAAAACTGTCTGTCTGGTGAAGTTTTGGTGAAAACAAGCTTGTGCTTCATTCAGTGAAGTTACTCACAGTGGGTAGAGTATCCAGAAATTTTACTCACGTTAGAGTAATACTTCATAATAAACTTACTCAAGTAAAAAGTATAGTGTAGTAAAAATACTCTTAAAAATACATTAAAAAAGAAGTTACTCAAGAAAATATATTAAGTTACTACCCAACTCTGGTTGTATTCATGTATTTATTAAGTAGTTAATTTCACTTACTCTTTTTGCAAGATGCGTTGACTTAAAGTGAACTTAAAAGTTGATTTATTGGAGGAACTGGTCATAAAAGCAACAGCTTTGACTTGTAAAAGGGACAAGAATGACGGCAGCTTGTTTGGAAACAACTGAGGCAGCATGATCTTTGCTCCTTCCTAAAACAGGACGGTTCAGTGCAACAAAAGAATAGCCTGCACTGGATTACAGTAAAGAAAGCACTAAAGCTCCTTTTTCAATTTAGGTTTGGTTCAAAAACATCTTTCTAAAGCTGCAAGGTTCTCCCTTAGGCTATCCAGCACAACTTTATTTCAAAATGAAAAAAGCAAAACCATATCAGGGTTAACTGATTCTGCTTTTATTTTCAGTTATCAAGTTCAGTCACATATTTATCCGTCTCGTTAGTATTAATAGTTTGTGTGTCTTGAAAATAAAACTCTTGCATCATGAAACTGAATAAAGGTCAGATTATGGATTCCACATTGATTCTTCAGAATACAATGAAAACTATTCCACCAAACAATCAGCTTTTGAACATGGTTTAAAAAAATCTCTTTAGACGGTTGGAATAAAAATAAATTTTTACTATATGTTCATTAAATATTTTATTCTCTATTAGGCTGAAACCACCACTGTTTGATCCCAACTAATATCTGGTTTTAGACCCCTGGATCTGCTTCAGAGAGCAGCCATGATGAGCAGCTGTCAACATCTCTTTTCTTCTTGATTCAGTGAGTGTGTGTTTAAACTGTTTGTTTCAACAAAGTGTGGCTATGTTTATTTACAGCGACTATCTATCTATCTATCTATCTATCTATCTATCTATCTATCTATCTATCTATCTATCTATCTATCTATCTCTATATCTAT